CACGACGGAACAAAGCTAGATCCACCACCAGGAGGAACCGCTCATCCACTGCGGAGAGCTTTGATTCAGTTACCAACTCTGTTGACAAAAACATGGACCAAATTAGCCAATCTGCTCGCCTTGATAAACTTAACAAGGATTGGGATTGCCATAGCGGCAAGAATGGGATTGAAATTAAAACTTTTAAATCTAGTGATGATGGTAACTACAATCAAATGAACGCAGCGGACACCCCCAGTATTGATAAAATAATGTTAAGAATTTTTACACCCTCCGATTCAGAATTATTTAAAGAAAATGTGATTAGTGCAGTTTGATGAACACTCGTAATGACGGTAATCAGATGATTGTATTTTAATGACTTTTAAAACAGATTAATCAAATCTTGCTGCAATTGAGATCAGAGTGTAGGTATAAAAATATAATTTCCGTGATTTCTGTAGGCATATTTAACTAAGATCGTTTATCGTAATTAAATTTTCGTGGAAATGATTAAGATTTGATTTAAATTTCTTACTGTAGGGCCTGTCGTGATATCATGGATCGCTTAGGTTCCACCAGGATCTGGTAGTCCTCATAATTCTGCAGCCTCTATGTATCGTCATCTCGCACAACTCCGAAAAACCATTGTGAGTTTATAGCATGTGAAAATTTGCAGCCTTCCAGACATTGATTGGGTTAACGAGTTGTCGTACGTCACCTCAAGATCGGGTGACTATATATAAAGCGAGACGATAGTTATCCGTGCCATTTTACTGACACCACGGCATCAAATTTAACGCAAATTTCCGCAAAAACCATAAAAGATATACATGTATATCTTTTATGGTTTTTGCGGAAATGATACCGAGAATGAAATCGGTCGACCGATTTCATTCTCGGTATCAATTTGCATTTGCGGACGGTTCCTCAAATTAATATCATTTCCTTTTGTTTGGAAAAGAGAGACACTGGCAGCGGTTCACACTACCCATGATTATGGGTTTTGGTCAAATTTTAATCAATTAAATTTAATTATATAGATTAATGTTACATTTGAGTATTAACTTGATTGTTCGGTCTTGATTACGGTAGATTACGGATTTTAATCAATTAAATTTAATCATGTAGATTAATGTTACATTTGAGTATTAACTTAATTGTTTCTTATGAGTTAGTTATATGCGTGGTTTGCATTATTTCTTGACAAATTCTAAATTCTAAATTGATTACGGGGGGGGGGGGGGGCCGGGGGTCAAACCTTGATTACGTAATACTAATATAGGGGGGGGGGGGGGTTCGGTCTTGATTACGGTTGATTACGGAGGGGGAGGGGGGTGGGTAAAAATTGCCAAAATATTGATTACGTAATATGTGAACGACCCCTAAGGACAAAGTTGAGGCCGAGATGACACATTTGGACACTTACAAGTGTTTGGATATTATTAGGGCTTTCATGAATGGGCAGAAAATTAGTCGAGGTTCAATTTAAATTATATTATTATTAATATTAACGCTATAATTATATATTATTATTGTGGACTTTATCTATCGGATTATCATTATCTTTTATAAAATATTGGCTTATGTTCTGAACAGTTTTATTCAATTCTTGAAGTAATTATGAAATTTTACTTATTGTACATCTCTATACAGCCCTCTAACAGATAACAGCCATTTTGTGGGGACAAATACCTAACAGCCCTCTAACCGGCTAATATAGCCTTCTAACAGTCAGTCAACTGTTAAAAAAAGAAAGAAGAAAAAAACCTATTTGCTGCTTATGTGACAAACAAAAAATTGTGTGTGTGTGTGTGTGTGTGTGTGTGGATACTCACCATGTCAGTGTCACTTCACCTATTTTGTCTCAGTCTGGATGAAATGAGAAACGGTGAAGAAACTTTCAACTGTGTCCATATCCTCGCTTGGCACTTGGACTTGGAGTTGGACGTTGACTGAATTCCTGACAGTACCTTATTTCCTTATTAAAATTGAATTCACTTAACTTTTCGTAAACATTTAGACAAGAAACATTTAGTACATATTATGTCATACTCATATTCCGTGTCATCATTATTACACGTTATACATATACGTTATTATAGTTTATTATTAAAATATTGTTGTATCTATCTGGTTTGTGGTTGTTCGTGATGAAACACTCCTGTCAAAGGACAGAGAATCCCAGCTCCCAGAGCGTCAATCTGTGTCGGTGTATAGTGAACGGCAGATGACTTTAGCGCTGAGTATAATTTATACTCAGAATACGTACTTTCTCTCTTTATACTATAAAGAGAGAAAGTACGTATTTTGAAGGATCGTGTTTTGAGCAACGATCTCGATGGGTTGACTGTTGACATCGTCAATCAAGTTGAAATTGAATGTTTATTTTTTTTTGCAGCAACACTAACAGCGTGATTGTTGAAAATTAAAACAACGACTTAATTGCAAGGTCTATTTTAATGTCTAAAAGTAAACGTTTGAAACCCTAAAAACCATGTTAAAATATTACATAAGGTGAAAACAACGAAGTTTTAAAAATCATTCCAATTGCTGCAACAGGCTATCAAATTATTGAATATAACTGATATGATTCTTTTCATTAGAATGTTTCGTATATCAGCGTCAGCTCCTTTTTACTCTACTGCATCAACATGCCGATGACCTGCAAATTATAGTAGTTATTTAAACTTGAGTTTTTCAAACGATCCAAAACATAATAAAGTAATAAATCAGAAATTGTCATAATATTATGCTGTATTATGAACAAATCAATACAAAAAATTACAATATTCTGCGTACTAACTTATTAATATATGCGTACTAACTTATTAATTACACACAATGCAGCTAGTTTAATGTTAATAGTGAGGGATTCCGGATTAGGTTTTTGGGGAGGTTTTACTTCTATAAATAAGGGAATAAGCTTTAAGGACCCACCTCAACTTCAGCGAGACATAAAGGATGGCGGCCTGCTGGCCTTATTTCTATCACTTGTCCGCTTACGGCGATGTTGATCAAATTGGGGAATCCTATTTTGGAGTTCACAATCCCAACAAGTTCACCATCGACATACACAGTGGCGTTATCGAGCCTATCAGCACAACAGTCCTCACGTCCATAAACCTTGTTTTTTAATACTGTCAATACTACTTCATAGCTTATAATTCAAGAACATGAATTTAATGTAGTCAGTTAAATCAAAACGTTGAACTGCTACCTTTCACTAAAAAATGTTAGTTTCCCTTGATCATGATCTAACACTGAACGCACCTTGATTTGTTCCATGTACGCGTTCTCTGGGAATGTCAATCTCCACCAGGCATTTGGCCCTGTCGTTTTAGTGTGGGTAATCGAATTCCTGAAAATAACAATCATCAATTTTACTGTTGTATAGCAGAAAATATTTGTTGTTGCCAAAGATTAGATCTCCAGATCTTACAAAAGTTTTTATTTTTCCACAAAAATCTCAGGATTATCTGAACAAACAATGAAATTAAAGTTCCTTACGATCCCCATCTGTTGGAAGTATTGCCATCAATGGCCCGGGAAGCTTCTCCATTGTGATCAGTGTCGATCTGCGTTGCTAATCCTTCTGATGCGATATTGTCGCACCCATCTTTGCAAGGATCACTTTCTATTTTAGCCCCCATCACCTAGGAGATTAATACTCGATTAGATATTTGATGTTGTTTAGATGCAAACTATTCAGTATAATATTTAGACTCAACTAAACCATCGTGCCCAAAAGCATTATTTGCTGTCACATATAAGTCATATATCTTGAAAACAGGTTATTGACTATCGAAGACGAAATTAGGGTAGTCACTAAGTCACTGGATTTAATGTTCATTTTATTGTTTAAAGTAAAATTATTTCCAAGTAGACGGTAGATCATAAGGTATATGGAGCGAATAAAGTTATATTTGTCTGTGACGAATTTAATATATATATTTTTTTTAATCATTTTTATTTTTTAAATATGTGACGAGATTTGCCTGGTGGTTTAAGTAATCTAAGTCGTTAGATATGTAGATAATAGTGATATGAAACCATCTTATGAACTGGAGAAATGGTAACGGAAACATGTAACAGAACAAACTGAGCACAGACTAGCGGCAACTAATATTAATGGATAAGCCGCACACATCCTAAATTCCAGGTTCACATTTACACTAGTGCCACATTCCACACTATCACTATTCTCCTATCAGCACAAACCGTAATTGATTTTAACAATCGCACAACACTACATATCCAAACTAATGGCATAGCAATATCTACGATATCCTAAATTAGTCCTAAACAAACTAAGCGCGAGTCTGAAAGGCTGTTGGAAGCACAGAGTGCTCCATAATTTGTTTTTATCAATAAACTGTTCTTTTCATTTTCTTTTTTTAAATTTATTAATTGCGTGCAAATTTCTGTTTCAGATTTAATCTATTTATGATATACATTTATGATTATGTAATAAAGTTATTATATTCGTAAACATTGACTGGCTTATAAACCAGTCCCCAAACATGTTATCAAAATTGGAGAATAATCATCCGGAGGATGTATATTGTATAATAATAATATTTGAATGAACAAACCAGAACTTCAGCAAGAGAAAGCTGGGCTCCACCTTCTTTATTTCTGATCATTATCTCGGAGCCAACTCTATTAACCGGCACAACCATAGGGGCTCCATCATTGTGGTTTAATGTTCCTACTTTCTTGCCATCAATTAAGACAGAGGCACCATCAATTCGTTCCGAGCAACAATCTGTTCTTCCAAAGATTTGGATTTCCTTGATAAACATTGAGCGAGGGTATGTCAGCGACCACCAGGCGTTACTACCAGATGCTTCAGTGTGGGTTACAGACCCGCTGAAAATAATAAGTACCAATTAACCAATATTTAAGTTTTCTACAGTGATACACATGAATAGAAACGTTTTTGCTGCAAAATTTTAGAATTTTTATAAATTTCTTTTACTCCTTTCCTCCCAGAAACTAATATAATCAAATTATTTTAAGTAAGTTTCTTACCTATGATAGTTGCCATTATTATTGCCATCAATAGCTTTTTCAGCCCTTCCGTAACCACTGGTATCAGACTGTTTTGCCATTCCTTTGCTTGCGATGTTCTCGACCTCTGTAGTTGAAAGTACTCCATCTAAGTTGAAAAATGCGTTCATCAGTTACATAATAAAAAATGATTTAGTTTAAGTAGTCGAATCGCTTCTCAATCAAGTTCCAAAACTGCTAGGTACCTAGACTCTAAAGTCGAATATATTACCTGCTCCTGCTTTTAAACAATTGAGGGCACAGGCGTTAATCCGTTGATGTAGTTTCCTGCACGACTTCGCCCGAATTCCGGACAAAGTATTAGATCCTATGGTTACACATCCGGCAATTTTCGTCGGGAAACCTGTACATAAAATTGGTAATGCAATATTGAATCAGTAGCTGCTGTCTCTGTGATATATTTTCGATAGAGGACAATGAGTCGACTGAGACAGTATAGCACGTTAGCCCTTTTTAACCTTTAAACCCCCATGCACTGCTTATGTTTATGATCAGTTGTGTTTTCTATTAAAGTATGTTTAAAACACTCGGTTGTATGATACTGTATATATCCTGATCTGATTTTGTTATCAAGTACCGGGTAAAAAAATCCTGGGGCCAAAAATTCATTGGGCTCTCATTCTTTTTTTTTTTTTTTTTTTTTCGGGTTGGGGCCCGAAAAACCCGTTGGCAAGACATTTTGTCCGAAAAATTTTTTTAATTTTTTTTTCCCCCTTGTTACCGGGAGCCAAAGTTTGCAGCCCAAATCGTGAAAGACCCCTAAAAAAGAGGGGCCCGGGAAAACGCATTAGAACGAGAACTGAGTTTTTAAATCCTGCACGAAAAAAAAAAAATTTTACAAAAAAATTTAAACCAATTGGGGAAAAAAAGGGAAATTAGATTATGAATATTTTTTGTGCAGTTTGGGGAATGGATTTTTGAGAGTGGCCCACAGGGAAAAAGGCGGCTTGAATTTTGTAAAATTTCGAAGTTTTCACATATTCCCTCATTTTGTTCAATTTATGTGAAAATTTCCCCGGGAAAACCCCCAAAGCAAATTCTTTTTGAATTTAATTTATTAAATTTGAAACGGGGTCGAGACAATTGATCTCTAAAAGGGGGGTTTTTAAAGCGGGGCCCTAAAAATACATTGAAAATTTTAGCTAAATTTGGGAAAAAATATATGAAAAAAAAGAAGCCCTTAAAGGCGACCCGGTAACTTCGTACTCTGTTTTTTATAATCTATTAAAATTTTTTATAGGGGTTTAAATGTTGAAAAACCTATAGCACAAATTATAAAACCCACAAAACGACTGGGCCCGATTTCCCGGGGTTTCAAAGGGTTTTTGGGGGCTGCTGGAGGGGAAAAAGGGTGGGATATCATCAAATTTCCTTTGCCAGATGGGAGGGAAAACGGGAAATTTTTAAATTTTTTTTTTGGCCCATTTTAAAAAATTTCCGACCGCGGGTTTTCCCTAGAGGGCCAAAAATTAAAAAATTATCTTAAACCATTTTTTAAAAAATTTTCCGAGATCGTGCCCCCAAGCACATTGAAACCTCAGGGCCATTAAACCCTGGGGAATCCTTTACAAAAACCCTTTCGGGAAAACTACTTTTGACCCTTATTCCTGAAAATTTTTCGCCCAAAAAAGTAAACAAAAAAAATTTAAAAACCTAAATCAGCCCCTGAACATGTGCTCGCCCAAAAAAGGTTTAGTTAAATTTTTTTAATTTTTGTTTTTTTAAACCCATTGCTTAAATTTAAAAAGAAAACCCTTTAAATTAAAAATTTTTAAAAGCAAAAAACCTCAAGTCTCGATGCTTATTTGACTTTTTGGAAATTCTCTAAAAAACAGCCCTCCATAAAATGAAAAATTTTTATCATTACCATAGCTAAACATTGGGAAAGACTCGTACAGTTTAAAAACGTGCCCTCTACAACAGCGAAGCCCCGGGAAAAGGTAAAACATCCTGATGATTTTTGGAAGATTCCCCAAAATGTGGTCCCAAAACCCGTTGGGGTATCAATTCAAGGTGCCCCCCAAGGGACAGGGGGATTTTAGCGCCCAACCCTCTTTGGCCCAAGCCCAATTCCCTTTAAAACGAAACCCCAGTCACTGTCCCCGACGGGGCCCTTTTTTGGCAGTTCAAGACCGAAGGTTTAACAAAGTGCCTAAACACAGAAAAAAGGCTATTAAATTCCCTTTGACTTTTTTAAGTGTAGTTTTCCGAACTTTTCTTTTTTGAAAACCGGAAACAAACCCCCCGGGGTTCCCGGGCTACACGCTCCATTTGGTAAAAACTCACTAAAGGTAAAACTACCGCCATCCAGTGGTCGGGGGGATATCGAGCCCCTTTTTCCGTGGCCCCCACGGTTTAAACCTCAACGAAGAAAAAGAAGTAACGAAGTAACGAAGAAAAGTTAGTAATATAAAGAAATAGTAATATATCTGTTGAATAATAAAGAAAGTTATATAATAAAATTAAAAAAAAACCGGAATTTGAACGAAAACCCCGCCCACGAAAAGGGAGATTCCCTTTCAACTTTATGAATACAATCATGGGGACTATCTCAATAAAGTTATTAATAAATTTTTATCTTTTTAAAAACCAATATAACATCTTACCCCTTTTTAGGGGGCCAAAAACTGAAAGTTTTAAAAAAAATTTAAATCTAAATAAAAAAAATTCCCCTTATTAAAAATGGGGGTTCTGTTGGGTTTAAAAATTTTCAAACTAAATCGTTTAAATGTTTTTTGGGGGGAAAGGTAATATACTAAAGATTTTTTTAAATTCATTGTTTCCCCGCCGGGAAAGTTTTAAAAAAACCTAAATTTCTCTAAAACTATTTTTTTGAAATATAAACTTACCAATTTAGTGTTGTGGGAAAACCAAAAACCCTTTCCCAATTCGAAAAACCCTATTTTCTCTGAAAAATTTTTCAGTTTTCCGGGGAAATGAAGTAGGAAAGAAGCGACTGATACCCCTTTTCCCCGTGTTTTCCTCGCCACCGCGAGGGCTGATAAACTCAGTTACCAAAAGACCTCCAAAAAATTTTTTCAACAAAACCCTTTGCCCTAAACCCGTGATAAGGAAAAACCCCCTTTTAAACTTGAAGTTAGCCCCCCAACTAAGACTGACTGGGGAAAGACTTACTGTACAAACTTTTTTCCTTGCGTTTTTATGAAGAAAAATCTTCAAGGGTAAGGAAACATTCAATTTCCAAATTTGATGTTGAAACCATGGATGCCCATTTCAACGTAGCCCGGCAGTTTTTTACAGCTTATATTTCGTACAGAACAACAAACAAATACAAGAACCTCTTAAAAAAAACTCAGAAATGGCCCGCGAGCGGGACCAAAACCTATTGGGGTGATGGAACCTCCACTGTGCAACAAAACATGCCCACTGAAACCCCCTAAAACCCCAACACCTCCCTTTTTAAACCTTCTACGTTTTGATGGCTCTGGTTGCATCTCCTCGGAAAAAGGGGTGTGTACAACAACAAGTGCCCAGGAGGGGTCAGATGATGTTTTTTTGTCGGGGGTTTTTCACTGTCTTGTCCTTTTGGCGGAACAAATTTTTTTGCCCCCGGGAAAGGGGTATTGGAGTCGGGAAAGGGAGGAAATTGGTCTTTTAAATTTAAAAACGGGGGGAAATTTAAAGGGCCCCAAAAATCATGAATCAAAAACAAAAACCGGGACTTTAAAAATTTCCATCCAAAATTTTTTTAATTTTCACAAATAATGAACTTTTTAATCGGGAAACGTCATGACAAAGTGTTAGCTGATCTTTTTTTTTAAAACTAACATCACGACAATCGTAAAAACCCTTTTTGTAGAAAACGAGCCCGGTTTTATTAAAGGGGAAAACGGGTTTTTTCTTTACTTTGATTGGATAGTACGGGGGATTTAAAACCAAATAATTTTAAATGCTAAAATTTCCGTTTTTCAAACCTTTTAAAAAGAAACCCCTTCCCCACACCTTCTCAAACGCCCAAAAAACATTCCACATAAGCAAAAAAAGTGACGGGACAGTACTAAATAACGGAGCAGATTGATTTGGGGTTTTCCATTTATCTAATTTTGCCCCCAACCAACGGGAACCTGGAAACAGAGGACAAATGGGCGAAAAAAAAACGTAAAGGGAATTGTGCTAAGGGAGAAAACCCAGTGTGAAACGTGCGTTTTTGGGGGAAATTTTTATCATCCCCCCAAATTTCTAAATACTTCCAAAAATCCGGTTGGGGACCACTGTCCTTGGGTTTTCCCCCTTTGGGCTTGCTAAAACTCAAACCAGGACGGGCATGTTTTTTGGGAAGTCCACCCAAAAAAAGGAGATATAGACGGAATCCTGCCGGTTTTCCCCAAATTTTCCCTTTACATGGTTTTAATGGGATTTTAAAACCAAAGCGGGGTGGTTTTTTAGCAGCAGTAAAAACTGAGAAAAAAAGGGGAGACAAACTGTTCAAGAGGGGAAAGTGGAGGGGAAGGGGGAATACTGCTCAGCTCAGGGTCCTTTTCCCTTCTCTTTCCCACGGCTCCCGATCGGTCGCGTGTGTGAGTGTCTTTCGGGGGTGCTCACCTGCACTGCCGTTTGGGAAACCCAATGTTAAAAGAGACTGTAGTTGTAGTTTGGGGCTGTCATATTCCTGGAACACAAAAACTTTCGCTTTTTCCCCCTTGTTTCCCGTTGCCTTTGTTCAAGACTTTTTTCCCAAAAACGGAAATCTTCTTCTAAAAAACATCGGGGAAAAACCCCCTTTTGGGGTTTTAAAAATTTTTCCCCCTTGGGGTTTTTTGGAACAAATAACCAAAGGTGAGGGGAAAAAACCCCTTTTCCCCCCAAAAAAAAAAACCCCCCAAAAAATTTTTTCCCAAAAAAAAAAAAGGTTTTTTAAAAAACCCCAAAAAAAAAAAAAAAAAAATTTTTTTTTTTGCCCCAACCCGGGTTTTTAAAAAGGGGGGGAAAAAAAAAAAAGGGGAAAAAGGGGAAAAAAGGGGGAAAAAAAAACCCCCAAAAAGGGGGGGGGAAAAAAGGGGGGGGTTTGGGCCGGGGGGGAAAAAAAATTTTTTCCCCAAAAAAAAATTTTTTCCCAAAAAACCCCCCCCCCCTCCAAAAAAAGGGGGGGGGGGGGGGGGGGGGGCCCGGGGTTTTAAAAAAGTGAAAAGGGGGAAAAAAAAAATTTTTGGGGGGGGGGAGGGGGGGGGGAAAAAAGGGGGAAGGGGGGGTTTGGGGGGGGGAAAATGGGGGGGGGGGGCCCCGGGGGGGGGGGTTTAAAAGGGGGGGGGGGGAAAAAACCCCGGGGGGGGGGGGGGAAAAGGGGGGGGGGGGGGTTTGGGAAAAAAAAAAAAAAAAGGGGGG